ATAACGGTCGTTTGCTTTCCCTCTTCCCATAATTGCAAGAGAAAATACAGAATTTTTTAACTAAGTCTTTAAAGTGATCCAATAACCTTCGGCAAGTTTCAAAATGGCGCCGTCCTGGGACGCACTTTTTGGCATATTTTTCCTTTACGAAGTTAGGATATTCTTTGGAATCTTAAAATGCAGTCCCCACTATAATTTCACGTATACTTTTTCATGTCGGCGACCAAATCATATGGTATCCAGAGCAGATCACTCCTTAACACGACGCCGTATTTTGTTGTCAGTAGGATACGCCTCTCTACCAGTTGGAAAATCAGAACTGCCCTGTGTTCTCTCGTCTCCTATCATCAACAGCATTGCTTATAAATGGAAGTGCCTTCGTTTCTGGCACAAAGCTTCGTTAATTGTGTTATTAAACAACACAAAGACGAACAATACTCAACATCATTTCCATGCAGAAGAGGCGACCAATATGTGGCGTTACGCACAGCTTCCAATACCAGTTAACTCAACTCGAATTCAGGTAGTTAATACTCTCTTTTGCGGCCTTTGGTTAGGTCACGCCACGCAACGTCACGCTTGTGAAGAAACGCTTTGAGAGAGCGTCTAGACCACACAAAGGCTGCGAAGGAGAAAAAATCTTAACGTGGTTACGATTTAATGATGTCGTGGTGTCTTCTATGACGGTGTTCTTAGACGGTGTTCCTAGAACTAGAGTGGGTTAGACTTAAACATTCCTTTTTCCCAGAACACCTATCTTCTCGTGGTTGTACATGCCTGAGCTGATCATGATTGCCTTTTTGTGACCTACCATAGATTCATTTTGTTGGTGTCAGAAAATTCACTCATGGACCATGTGTGGCCATAGATAATGTTTCTTTCACCAAAGAACCGTGCAAACTGATTCCTTGGAGTGCTGTTAAAGGTAAGGGTTACGCTGGAGGTTACGTATTCATAGTAAACTGAAGTTCGTGTCACGTTCTTTTTTCACGTTGCAGGCACTTCCTGTGCCCATTAACCTCACACTCTTACGACTAACTAATCAAAGTGACACTATGGTGAACTCGTTGATATGTTGTGCAGAATATGAATAAAATGAATGTAATTGTACTAAAAGCCAATGATCCTATTGTTCCAATTGAAGAAACAGATTAAAGCCGTCAATCCCCCAATAAGAGTTAAATTTTCAAGAAATGTGCGTCATTCATTAAGGGGAAGGAATATTTAGATTTTAGGGTTAGATGGCGAAAGGAGGAAGGGCATAATGTTTTGGGAACATTTGGCACGCCCAAGGCTACATTCAAATAGAGAAACTAAAACGGTTTTCTTCTTTTCACCTCCATACTCGCCTCTAACCGTAGATAAAACAGCTAAGGACGCGGAAAGTATAGGCTACGGTTTACCCTATCCTTTTCTAACTATTTTACCAATAGCTACATTACTTTTTAATCCCTAACAACCATTAGATTGTCAAAAGCCTCTTGGCATGGAGAATGGAGCTATCTCCAATAAAAAAATCACTGCTTCATCACAATGGGCTGCCCACCTCGCCCCTTCCCAGGGAAGGTTACATTTTAAACAATCAGCCGATAAACGGGGATCTTGGTCAGCCCGCGTAAACAACAATAACCAATGGCTTCAAGTGGCTCTGGGAATTCGGTACATGAAGGTCACGGCTGTAGCAACGCAAGGACGGAATGCATATCCTGAGTGGGTAACGAAGTACAAGCTGCAGTATAGCGGGGATGGAATAAGCTTCCAGTATTACAAGGAACCAAAAGATATTGAAGACAAGGTGAGTTGGACTTCACACATCAAAATCATATTACTGTTGTTTTTCTCATCCAAAATAAAAAAATAAATAAATAAATAAACATTTGGCTGAGGTTAGTATCCTTTGGTTTGATTATGTTTGGTGGGGTCGGCTCAGCTCGGGCTGAGTCGATTGGAGTCGCGTCGTATCGGGTCAGGCTGCGTCGCATAAAATCGAGTCGGGGCGGTGCGAGATTGGGAGGGACAGGGTAGAGCAGGTCGACTCGGTTCAGCCTATCTTTTTTGGCCGAGTTTGATTTGATTAAGTTCGGTTCGGAACAGTTCAGGGCGGAGCC